AATTAAATAGTTGCTTCTTCCCCATCCCCATCCCTACCCTCTGCCTTTTTCTTTTCATCTTCCTTTTCTTGCTTTCGTTTCTTATCTTCAATTTATTTTTCACCCTTTTGCTCGTTACCATTGCTACAGATGTTTCACAGGCTTTGTTGAGTATAACCTGATGCTTCTCTTTTTGTTCATATAATAGGTTGACAAGATATATCTCAGCACCCCTACAAAGATTGCAATTATTGATCATGAAAAAAAGAGAACATTTGTTTTGCGTAAAGATGGCCTTCCTGATGCTGGTGAGTATTATCAAGCTCATCTTATATACCAAGTTTGTTATACTCATCACGGTACTAATCAGGATTTTAGCTATTTGAAGTTTTATAATTTAAGAACATATAATTATACTTCATATGTGTAAATATACAAGAACTGAATGGTGGAGTAAAAAGTCAGCTTTCCGTTAGAGCATAGCGTAAAATACGTATCCGTTCTTATTTCCATGTCTGAAATCTTCCAGTAAGTTTGTAAAATAAGTAGAAAGTGACTAATTTTGTGAGCAACTTTGATTTAAGCTAGCAATGGCATTTTTCAAATCTAACTTTAATACCTTTGGATGCTTGATTTGGGATGTAATTTAGTAATGTAGACTTTTTAAAGCCAGTACTACTGGAGAATAAGAAGCATGAATTGGTAGCTTCATTTGACTCACGCTTCACAACTCTGAACCAAGTAGATCATTACATATGTCTTTTATTACAATTGAGTTGTGACTTTTAAGTTCCCAAATTTAAGTGACTGTCCTTCTGGCCCTTTTTTTTTTTAAAAAAAAAAATATTTATTATTTATCTATGCAGTTGTGTGGAATCCTTGGGATAAGAAAGCAAAGGCTATGGCTGATTTTGGTGATGATGAGTATAAGCATATGCTTTGCGTGGAGGCTGCTGCTATTGAAAAGCCTATTACTTTGAAACCAGGAGAAGAATGGAAAGGAAGACTTGAGCTTTCAGCTGTTCCCTCTAGTTATTGTAGTGGCCAGCTTGATCCCCAGAGAGTTCTTCAGGGCAGCTGAAAGATCATTGCTGTGTTCTGTTGTCTGTACAGGTAATAACTGCAAATTGATATGTATCAACTGTCCTGTATCAACTGTCCTCTAACATTGCCGTAAAAAGGAACGACTTAAACCTTGACTTAGGTTGTTCTACCTTAATTGTTGGGTACTAAAGAATTGAACTAGAAATTATTCCCCATTTTTTTAGTAGGCATGTTTCTTTATTTTGTACCATGAAATGGCAGAGCAGTTTTTTTTTTAAAAAAATTCTATAATGCTTGTGCGTTGTCATGCAAGTTTCAAATTGAGTAGTTCTTCTCACTGGTGACGTATATTATTGCTTAAGCTGATGTATATCTCCATTGTCTTTCATACCCGTGTTGATCCATTTAAATGTCACACTAATCTTTTAGGAAAGATTTATCTGCAGGTAGCCTGTTGCAACATTTATGGATAATGAAAAGAAAGTGTCTCAGTAATTTTGCTCCTTCATGTTCCATTTAAGTCTGTGTCGGACAGATGAACTCATGTTGGATAAGATTTTATTAAACTATTTTTTCCTTGTAATGGATGACCAATATGGTCATAACAAACTGAACAAAGCATATAAGCAGAAGAGTCCACAGTTGTTGCCATGGAAGATCGAAATTACAGCCTACAATTCAACAGATTTTCGCGTTGGGTTGAATGGTCCAGACCCAGAGGGATTCCTTTTTAATCCACATAGTTTTTTGGGTTCTGAAATCCCTATAAATTGTTTATTACTATAAGTTGTAGGCTAATGAATACATCCCTGAAGAATATTTTATTATACTAAAGGAATGTATAACAGAAGAATGGTTGACAGGTCATATTAAATATTTTTGGGTTATTTTGTTATACAATCTTATTTTGCCTTCTTTCTCCAGCTTCCTAGAGTAAAATAACATTTTACTAGCTATTGATGTTCATGTTTGTGATGGAGTAATGTTTTATATCTGATAAGATTAGGAGACTATTTCTTTGGTATCACTTTGTACCAGTTGATTATGATGCCAATTAGTAAACTAGTTGGTTTAACAGTAATTAATTTATTGGTTATCCATTTTGAATTAGGATAGTGATTAGTGATTACATTTGGCCAATGGATATGGACCATTCTCCCCGTTGTTTTCCTCTCCTTAGTTGGTTTGTTATTAAATAATCTCTTAGTTGTCCATTTAAGTTTGTGATTACAATATTATCATTTGGTCAGCGGATATTCCTTGTCTTGTTTTCCTCTCTTTCCTCAATTTTTGGCATATTTATCTTGTAGAGCTGAGTGAGGAATGGATTTGCACGACCTGCTGTAAGATTTGTGAAGGCGTACTTTTCTCTCTTTAGCCTCTTGATTTTTTCCCTTATTATTTCACGTACAACAAAAATTTTCAAACCATGTTATTCTTCAGAGTGAATTTCACCCAACGTAGTATAGCAAGTCATACAATTTTGGTTGAAGTGGTGGTCACAGGCTGGGCAACATAAGTCGTTGACGTAAAACTCTGAATTTCAATCTTAAACGGCAGTAAAATGATATACAGTATCAAGGTCTAATTACGATGATAGTTAAATATCTTGTATTCAAAGTTAGATACAAGCCATCTTGTCCAATGCTCTACATAGACGGAACATGTTTCTCCATGATCATAATGCTGTTGTAATTAATATCTTCGGCATATTTGTTGCTCGTTTAGACTTGAATCACAGATGCTGGAATAGCGTGTACTGTTGTTGCCTTGCACAGACATTATCCTGGATGCCTATAGATTATCCTGAAAGCCCATAGATCATCGAATATGCTTGCTTGCTTGCACGCTCATTGACTTGTAATATGTCATTATCGTTATTGCAAAAGTAGCTCCCTTAACTAGTTTTTAATTACTAGGTAATGAACTTGTTCTAAATTGGCTGGATGACTTCTCGTATGGTTTTTAAAATACACGTGTCCTCTCGTATTTTTCACGCACATATAACTCTTCACATTACGGGTCATACAACCTCCCATTTACATGGTTGAAACAGTTATGACTTCACATTTCCTATATTGAGAGGAAATCTTCTACATCTTATAAATAGAAGGCTTTGCCTTACTGAAAGGATCATCTTCTCCATCATTCAAGCTTGTTGTTACTCTGTTGGATTTTCACCTCAGTCATGACCAAATCCAATTCACCTACTCACTTTCATATTTAGTTAACTTGAGGCTAGTATGATGACTCCTTCGAACCTTGGTCTATACCATTGCCTTTCTAGTCATAGTTAGATCAATATACTTCACTAGTTTGGGATACAGACTTCCATTTCCATCTTCTGACTAGTTCAGAACTGAATATATTATTTTAGTAATCATCGAGCAGTGTAGACATGGTACTAACTGTTCAAATTTAGATGCAATATAGAAACCATAAATTAAATTGCTTCTTGGGAAATCAAGGTCTGCAAGTCATCCCAAAAATTAAGATTTGGTCTCATTTGCTACATCTTCAACTTGGTGATATTTTAGAAAAGAGATATTCGTGCGTTGATCTAGGAAATTGGTCGATTCAAATTAATTGCTTCTCCCGCAAAAAAATGTATATGATAAAACCATGGAAGAAAGAAAGGGGAAAACTATATATATATATATATATATATATATATATATATATATATATATATATATATATACATGCATTATGTTCTAAGCGATTGCTGAGTCCTAGTCCAATTTGCCAATCAATTTTTTGTTTCTTTCCCGTTAGCATTGAAAACTGAAAAGTAATAGTATAATAATTAGATTAGATCGCCGTTTATGTGGACATTTAATAAATAAAAACTCAACACAACTTGAACCTGATTGGAGTCTTTGACCTAGAATTTGATCCTCCTCAAAATGCCACATGATTGGATTTCGTGTATGCGCATTTGGGTGAACATGATTGAGAAAATTAACATCAGGTCTCGTGATGTAGATAGCAAAATTGTATATTTTTGTTGGGGAAGGATATTGTAACAATTAACTAGTGTTACTACCGATCAATTTCACCGTTAGATCGTTATTATTTCCATCTTTGTATGATTATGATTCCCCATATTTAATACTTTATATTTATTTTCAACTTGTATGGTTATGATTTTTCATATTTAATGCTTTCACATTAAATATAAGGAATCATAACCATACAAAGATGGAAATAAATATAACCGTTGAATCAACATAATCCATCTAACGATAAAATTGATTGGTAATAACATTGGTAGTAACACTAGTTGGTTGTTACAATATCCTATCCCAATTTTGTTATCTAATTTTGATGACATCAATACTGAAGTAGGCCGTATGTGAGTTAGTTAGGAGATAGTAACTTGCAATTGAGTTGACAAATCCCATATACACGTATAAATTGCAAAGCTTGACATTCTCTAATTATATACATAAATATTTATAATTTCCCTCTAAATATGTGTGTGTGAGAGAGAGAGAGAGAGAGAGATCAATGTCTCTTTCTTTGATCGTTATCTCATCTATTCAATATCCTTTAATTCTTGCTTACCCAGTACATGCTTACTTTCCAACACGTTATTAGTAATTATATAATATGATACATAGCATTAAACTTTCAGGCTTCCCAATAACATCTCTACACATTCTCAACGCAGCATAATTCTTCACTCAACTGTGATAAATACTTAATGTGCTAGCAACAGTACACCAAGAATTTGCCAACTAAGCATGAAGCACGCCTCCTTCAACCCTCATAAAATACTTGTGTCTGTGGCCAGACTGTTAATGAACCTGACCTTTTGTTCTTATTCTCACCAATCATTCTCCAATATAGTATAACCTTCAATTTCAATCCATTTTTTTTTATTACACACACACACACACATATAAAGACCTTACAATTTCTAGAATTAGAAACAATTCATAGTAGCAAAACAGAACAGAACAAAACAAATAGTAATGGAAGCTCCTACGTTAGTTGTAGTCTTATCTTCCTTGCTGCTTATCTTGTCTAGTAAACAAACAAGCTCAGCTCAACTTACTCTCGGTTTCTACAACAATATATGCCCTAATGTGGAACAATTGGTTCGCTCTGCTGTGGTGCAGAAGTTCCAAGAGACCTTTGTAACTGCTTCTGGCACTCTACGACTCTTCTTCCATGATTGCTTTGTTCGGGTTTGTAAGCCTACTTGATGAGCTTTAGTTATGAATGATGTTTCCATGATAATTATCTCACAAAACTGTTAAATTAATGCTGATTCAGTTCAAATAACTTTGACTTGACGTTTTTTCATTCACCAATCTACTCAAAGGAGCATTTATATCATTTATATCGCTCATTGAAAATGTTATTGATTATGTTTTTATGTCTGCACAGGGTTGTGATGGTTCCATTTTGCTTACATCTCCAAATGGTAAGGCAGAGAAAGATAATCCTATTAACCTTTCACTAGCTGGGGATGGCTTTGACACAGTGATTAAAGCCAAAGCAGCAGTTGATAGTGATCCTCAGTGCACAAACAAAGTCTCTTGTGCTGATATACTTGCTCTTGCTACTAGAGATGTTATAAATTTGGTATTATTTCACTTTGACATTACTTTTATTTACTATGTGATGTGACTATACTATCTGGCATCATCACTTTAACGAATAATCCAATAATTGCATGATGTAGACTGGGGGACCATTTTATCAAGTTGAATTGGGAAGGCGTGACGGGAGAATATCTACTATTGCAAGTGTTGACCACCGTCTTCCTCGACCTTTCTTCAATTTGGATCAACTCAATTCCATGTTTAGCTTCAATGGTCTCTCCCAGACAGATATGATTGCCTTATCAGGTAACTTCACTAACATAAAGTTGTAAGGTTCTGTTATTTCATTAATCAAGCCACTTTGCACCAAATGATTAATCTTTAGGGAAAAGTTGTGGTTTACTCCAAAATTACTTATGCTCTTGTGATTTGTTTTTATCACATATGCTCATGTGGTTTGCAAAAGGGTATGTTTTTTATCACATATGTCCCTGTGATTTTTTACTTTTTACAAATCACAGAGGGATATGTGATAAAAAAACCATAGAACATAGGTGATTCTGAAACAAACCAGAAAGATATTGGTGAACTTTTCGCTAAACTTTATTTTTAACTTATTTCATTTTATAAGGAGCCTGAGAATGATGTGTTTTGTGTTAGGTGCACATACAATTGGATTCTCTCATTGCACTGTCTTCTCTAAGCGAATCTACAACTTCAGCCCCAGACAGAGAATTGACCCAACACTAAATTTACAATATGCCTTGCAGCTTAGACAAGAGTGCCCTCTAAGAGTTGATCCTAGAATCGCCATAAACATGGACCCTGTCACACCTCAAAAGTTTGACAATCAGTACTACAAGAATCTGCAGCAAGGAATGGGTCTATTCACTTCTGATGAAGTGCTGGATATAGATGAAAGGTCAAAGGCTACAGTCAACTTATTTGCATCCAATGAACAAGCTTTTGAGAGTGCTTTTGTTGCTGCTATTACTAAGATGGGAAGGATAAATGTTAAAACTGGAAATCAAGGTGAAATAAGGATTGATTGCAGCAAGGTGAACTAGGAAAGTACAAAGATGGTATCGTGCTTTAGAATAATACTTGTTGCAATGAGAGTGGAAATTTTAAAAAGTACAAGAGTAGTTGCAATAAGATGGTGAGAACCCTGAAGATATGAGGTATTGTGTGAAAGTATGTGAGAGTTGCTTTATTCAATTCTTTACTTTTTTTTGTTCATATGTGAATCTGATATGTGTGGGTAGCTTTATCCAATTGTTTGATAATTTGAAGTTGTATTAATAATTGATGGAGTTCTTTCAGATGTACTCAAGAATTCAAGTTCCCTTGGGAATGAAAGCAAAAATTTATTACAAACAGAGAAAGGGACAATAAAATTATAGATGCATCCACAACTTATTCATATGGTTTGCTTTGAAAGAGATTGAAAAGCACAGAAAAAATGAGTGAGTTTTGTAGGCTTATCTATTTAATTAAAGAATTTGAATACAATAAATCAAGAAAATTTTTGAGGAGAAATTTATAAAAGGAAATTGATAATTTTACTAATTTATCTTCACAAACATCTCACTTTCATGTAAGTTATTGAATAACATTTTATTTACATGATAATGTCTTAAATGAGTCTATTTTAAAGCATGTAAGTAATGCAATAAAGCTTTTGTTGAAAATTAAACTTTAAAAGTAATTCCATCTTACATTATCAACTCAATTTTTTTAAACCGCAATTTTACAAACTTTGAATCTCAAATTGAGTTTTTTTTCTCCTTCGATTCTACACTTTTAGACATTTTTGCATCATTTATAAAGAAACTAAACCCGAACAGTTAGTTCAATTGTAAAACGGATGAACTCGTCTAAGTGTTTAGTCTATTTGGCCCAAAAAGCTAACTAAGCAAAGAATCGGCCAATTTAGTTAGAAACCTATAAAGCCAATAGTGAACTAGTTTGATCCCCTTTTTTAATTTTTAATTTTATCAAAAATATTTTTTTGAGTTAAATAAAGGCCTCACATCGAATTACAAAGGTCACATGTGGAATGCATCTGATATATTCAACTGAGTATTTTTTCTCTCCATATTTTCGAAAAATATTTCATCACTTTTGAATTTTCTTTTTCAGCCACATTAATATTTTTTCTCCTTTTGAAAAAAAGATGTACCCAATTGAATAATACATCAATGCACTAAAGATTTGTTTCCACATGTGAAGCCTACATATAATAAGCATGCATGAAATGAGCTCTTAGCTTTTATTTATATTATAGGATTGAGTGTTTCAGTTGGACTCATTGGTTATCTTTGGATTGGAATCATATAACACAAAGACCAGCTTTATAGTTTTAGGCCAATCGAAGATTTATAATGCATTAAGCTCCTATCTCTCCAACTCCAACATAGGACTTTCCACTAAACCATCACTCACTCAACTCACTTGATGATCCGATTTTTATACTTAAACTATATTATCATGTCTATTAGGGTGTTCGCGGTCTGGATTAGATCGGTTTTGGAAGGCAAAAATTATCCGATCCAATCCTTTCGGTTTGATCATGTAATCATCCATTCGGTTTGAATTTTTTTTCAAATCCGATCCGATCCGATCCAATCCAATTTTTTTCGGTTTGGATTGGATCGATTTTCGATTTTTTGAAAATCTTAAAATTTGTTTCATGATTATTGTGCAAATAACATCTTTTGTATATATTGACTTTGTAAAAAAAAAAATTGAAATACAAAAGCATCATTAAACGATATTATATAGGTTTTTTGGGAGCAATGAGATTTGAAGCTCTACACAGATGAAATTTTGTTGATGAGATGTGACTAGGTTTTTTCTTGGGTTTAGTTGATGGGTTAATGAGTCTTGGGTTAAGAAATTTTTGGGCTATGATTGGGGAAATGCTCAAATAAGTAGAGGGGAATTAACATATTGGATCAGTTTGGATTGGATCGGTTTTTATCAACCAATCCGAAAATCGATCCAATCCAATTAAAATTAGTGGTTTTTTTTCGGTTTTTCGATTTTCGTTTATTCGGTTATCGATTTTTTGGTTCGGTCACCGTGGTTTGAATCTGTTATGGACCTGAGTAAGGCCCACATCCACAAGAAGCCCAAACCATACAAGCCCAAAGATAAGCACTATAAATAGGAGCTAAAAACCACATGTATGACTGATTTTTCTCTAACCCTATTTTATGCAATCACATAGCGCACACACACACCCCCTTTGGCTAAGGCTGTCATGTAGTGTGTAGTGATTTGCTGTCCCCAAGATACCTAATTCATAGGTATCAAGAGAAAGTACTAGATCCAACATCAACAATCTAACCTACGGTTAGACATCTCTGCCTCAGGTAGAACATTGGTGCCGTCTGTGGGAACTCTACCCCTACGATCACGTGGTTAGAAGCCGTCGACCGAAATGGTGAGGACGACGAGAAGTGGGTACCGACAGCCCTCAAGATCGAATTCCAGGCACCAACCAATTCCTCCGATCAGGGAGGATCCTTTGGATCATCAACGGCTAGACACCGATGCTGTGCACGTTAGTGATGTGCACTCTGATTCGGCATCAACCCCGGCGGTTAATCCGAATGCCCCATACGTGCTGGGGCTGCAACCAATGGAAGGGAAGATTCCAGATGCCGCACAAATCCCAAATGGTGCAGCTTACGATCCACAAGTTAGAGAGAAGGCATGACCTCCAGAGGGAAGAAGGTACTAGGCAGGTTCGAGAGTTGGAAGCTCGGTTAGGGCGAATTTCCAACCTGGATCCAGCATAAGCTATAACTCGGGTCATGACTGACCTAAGGATTACGAATCCCCAGCAGAACAATGATCGAACCCGGACTCAAGCGAGAAGTGTTGATGGCCGACCTCAGAGGGGGGCTCCTAACCCGATTCATAATCAGGAACCTCAGCATGTATAATAGCCCTAACCTAATTAATTAGCAAATTACATGTAATTAAATAATTAAGCATGTTTTAGTGAGTAAAATTAAGTATAAGGCTTAATTAAATGAAACTGAGTCACTTTGGAGTTAAAAAGTGTACTCAGTGAAAATTAAGGGGTATAAATGGGTGTAGGCAAAAGTACCCAAAATATAAAAAATAAAATTGTAAATATTCCTAGAATAATATTCCAGACTTTTGGGTAAAGTTTGGTAATTAATGGAGTCGAATAGATAGACTAACTAATACCCACATGTTACCACTTAACCACTGTTAAGTGGTAAAACAACACAAAAAGAGACCCATTGTCCCTCCCAACCCGTCGCCAGCACCAGAAAGAAGAAGAAGGAAGAGAAGAAGAGGAAGGAGAGGAAAAGGGGAGAGAGAACCCTAGAGTGAGCAAATCTTAACCGATTGGAGTGATTCAAAAGCCTAAACCACCTACAATCTTCCCCTCTTTCATAATCCTAGCTTAGTTTGTAGTGGGAGCATTGTGGAGTGGGATATTCTCCTCCAAAAATTCGGCCCATTGGAGAAATTGAGGTGTTTGAGAGATTCAACCTCCATTGGAGCTTGAGGAGCAATCAATCCTTGGTTGTGTGACCATTGGTGGTAAGATCCTAACCCTTGAACCTTGTTTTCTTGGAAAATTTCATGGTTAGGGTTTAATGAATAGTGTTTTAGGGTTTTTATGAAATGTGATTAAATTAGCTATGTTCTAGGAAGAATGAAGCTTAGTGTATGTTATGAAAAATGCTAAGAATGGCATTTAATCGGTGAAAATGAGCCTAGTTAGTTAAATGACTATACTTGGTATATTGCAAGATTATCATGCTTGTTGATGAGTATTCTCGCAATGTTGAGTTATGGTGTGGTTGATTGGTTATTGATTGTGCCTATATGGTGGTTAGGATTGAGGAAATCAGACCAACCGTAATAGACCAACCATTGGAGCAAGGAATGGAGTTGGATTAGCTCTTTGAACTAGGTAAGTTCATACCTTGTGGTTGATGAGTTGTATAAGTAGTTGATAGTAATGAAGTATTATTGATGCAATGTGTTGAATTGCATTACATCGTGTGTAGGTGTTGATAATTGAAGTAGATAATTGTTGAGATTGGTGAAAGAACAAAGGTTAATTGGAAGCTTTGAGGTAAGCCTTCGGACCTTGGGTGTAATTCCCTTAATTGTTCCACCAAGCCCGGAAGGGGTAATGGTTGTTATGTGTATATAAATGCAATGAAATAGTGTAATGCTTTGTTATATGTATGTGTATGCTTTGGTATGGCATAGGATGGTGGTTACCTATGTTGGTATGTTGCATGACGATGCGTAAATCATACTTGGTAGTTTAGCTGGCCAGTAGGACTATTTGCATCTGAGTTTCCTTAGGACAGCTTGAGAGCTCGAGGGATTTCTCCTGGAGATGTTATTGCATTTTGCATAGATATGTATTTACTGCATTATTATTGTTATTGCTATTACACTGATATGGAACTGTGGGGTGGAGAGATGCTCCAAGGACCCCTGGTTTACTGGATATATTTGTATATCTCACCCCGTGTTGTGGGGACCCCCTTTCAGGTAAGGATGCTGCAGGAGCCACCAGTGGCAAGTGGCCATACTTGGACTAGTAGTGATGCATGAGGATCCAGTATTTTGATATCATACATGTTGTTTTGTAGCTCACATGTATAGGATTGTAATTAATAGACAATTGATAGATGTATGTTATGTTTATTTGGAATGGACTTAGCCTATGCTCATGCCTTTGGTTATCTCTTTGTTGATGGGAGCCAAGGGAGTGATCATAGTGTTTTGTAAGCTAAGTTCCATGCATTGTAATGAATATGATTTGTAATTGATGATTACCTTAAGTTCATTATATGCATGCTCTATATGTATTGGATTGTTGAGCTGGAAAGTATATTAGGTACCTAGTTCTAAATTGGGAATTGTTGAGAAAACAAAGGTTATGCTGCCCAAATTTTAGTACAAGCCATGAGGAGAGGTTGGGAAAGGTTCTAGGGTTAAGTTAGATGGTTGAACAAGTGTGGCTTGTTAATGGAAATGCAACCTCCCTAGAATTAGA